TGAGATCAGTGGGTCTATATTTGTCATTATTACTTCAAAGGACACATCATTTACATAATATATACACCATATTAAGTATTCTGCATGTTACATAACACACACATATTATATAAGGTTGGTCTGGCGAGAGGCTCCTGCTTTCTGCCAAACGTTTCCCAACTTATTTGGCAATTTTAATGTATCTTTTCCATCTGTGGAAAGAACTGTCTTGAGAGAAGCTAGTGACTGTTCACCTTCCATCATTTACATTCTCAGGTCTCTGAGGGCTCCCAAGGATGATAAAACCATCTTGGGAGGCAGCCCCTTCCTGCCCACCTGTTCACAACAACAACAACATCTCAAAGCACATCAGTTTCATTCTTAGTACCATGGAGAAAGGAGGGCAAGCTTGGAATGTGTGCCCGTGGGTGTGTGTACAATTTTTGTTTTTAGTTTTCAAGGCTGGATAAAATAATGGCCACAGAATTTCTGTAAAGTCAATAGCATAGGAAGACAGGTGTTGTGGAAATTGGTGACTGTCTACTTGGGGAGGATTTGTGGAATGAATCTCAAGCAATGTGGTGGGATAGAAAGCACACTGGACACGAAGTCTATGCTTTGTAATCTGAGTCCTTCACTTGTTGATACGTGGTGGAACCCTTCACCTTTCTGGGTCTCCGTTTCTTCATCTGTGAAATGGGTGAGATTGGGCTAAATGATCTCTTAGTAATAGAACAAAAGCTTCTTGAGGGCAGGGACTGTTTTGGGTTTGTTTGTTTGCCTTTGCAGCTCCTGTTTGTCACACTGCTGCTACAGGGCCAGGATTTGATAAATGCTTGTTGAGTGAATGAATACGAAACATTACTGACTAACACTTACTAACTGTGTGACCCTGGGCAAGTCACTTAACCCCATTGCCTAACTCCTCCCCCCCAAAAAAAGAAACATTACTGCCTATGAGAGCAAGGCACTCAAGCTCCTTAGTTCTTTCATTTGTAAAATGAGGGGGTTGGACTGGGCGTCCTCTTAGGGCCCTTCTAGCCCTAGGTTGATTATCCTGTGACTTTTTAGGTCCTCAGTGCCCTCATCTGTAAAATGAGGTTGTTAACCTCCACAGGTCCTTTCAGCTCTACATCAATGGTCCTCAGATATTATCCCCTTCAGTTCTCTATCTACCCCTCTATCATCTATCTCTCTATCATCTAGCTATCTATCCAGCCATCTATCCATCATCTATCTTTATTTATCTATCCATCCAACTCAATCCATCCATCCATCCATCCATCCATCCATTTATCTCTCCCTCTCTATCTATCTATTGCTTGTTCATTCTATCTATCCAGTCATCTATCTGCCTATCTAGTCACCTATCAATTTTTGATTTATGATAAGTAATACTCTAAATCACTCCATCTATTCAGTCATCTATCTATCTATCTATCTATCTATCTATCTATCTATCTATCTATCTAGCCAATCATCCATCCATCCATCCATCCATCCATCCACCCATTCATCTATCTATCTACCCATCTAATCTAGTCATCTGTCCATTTTAAAAAATCTATAATAAGTAACACTCTAAATCCTGACTGTGAGATGTCTCCAACAGTCTCAGTCTCAAATGCTCAGTCTCAAGATCAGCTTCTCATTTGTGGGGCTCTGAAAATTAAGTTTTCTTCTTGACAAAGAACCACCTGTAGGAGGTTTGGGAGCAAGGCTGGACTATACACGTACCTAGGCAAGCGCTTTTCTGAAATTCTTAGAACCAGGACCTCCTGGGATCTGAAAACAATGGTCATGGAGCCAGCCTTTACTTAGCTGCAGACCTATCATTTCAACCTGAATCTCAGTCCAGGTACCAAATATATTGCAGTTGCTTTAGCATGGGGTGCCCCTTGTTGGAAATCTCTAAGTAGAAGCTGGCTGACCATTCATCAGGAAAGTTAGAGGATTTTTCTTTAGATATGGGTTGGACTAGACAGTGTCTGAGGTTCCCTCCTGATCTGGGATGCTATGATTCATCCCCAGATTCCCACACTCAGCCACACTACTGGGCTGGGTGTAAAAGGCCTAGATGGAGAGAGAATGTGTTTTAGCCCAAAGCTGATTACAGGTACATTTCATAGTTATCACATCCACAATCTCTGGTACTTGTTCTCTCAAATTCAGGCTCAACTTATGTCCAAAGTCCTGCTTCCCTTTTCCTAGTCTCAGCCTCTTGTTGTTGGAGAAGGAGACACTAGGCAGAGTAGCATTTCTGTGCATTGTCTTACTCTATTATAATGTAAGCTTCTTGAGAGCAAGGCAGAGACCATTTAGGTTTTCTGTTTATATCCTCAGCCCTTAACATAGTGCTTGGCACTTAATGGCACTATGACACTTAATATAATGCTTTCCATTCACACATTCAATCATATATTATTCATTCCTTGGGAGAAATCTCTGAGCAGGGCAAACTCATCCTTTGTTCCAATTTTGAACTCGAGGAAAGAGAAAACTTTTGGAATCAACTTCGGGTCATTGAGCTCTGAAATCCCTCTAGTCTTGCCCTGGAAGTCTGAAGATGTCCCTGGATGAAGCTTCTCATCTCCTTGTCCCTCTAAGACCTGGATCATAACCTTTTTTTAAATGTCTTGGACCTCTTTGGCAGTGTTGGAAGACTATAGACCCCCTTCTCTGAATAATGTTTTTAAATGTATAAAATAAAATATAGAGGATTACAAAGGAAACAAATTATATTGTAGTAGTTATCAAAATTTTTTTTAAAATGCCCATAGACCCCAGGTCAAGAATCCCTGCTCTGAGAGGACATGCTGTTTCAAAGGCACTGCCACCAGTGGTTTCTACCAGGAAGAGAGTAAATAGGAGAGCTAATTGATTTTCTTACACTACAGTTGTTACAAGACATAATTTCCTCCAGATCTGGACTGAGGAGCATTTCTGTCTTCAACCAGACCTGGGATCCAGACCTTTACTTCCTAAAGCCAGCCTCAGTGATTGACTGACCAGTTTGGCTGGTAAATGTTTTCCCACGTGAAGTTGGTCTGGATCTATGATAGTGACTCAAATGGGTTGTATTCAAACTGTAGGGCTGTTTTCTTTACTAAAGATCCTTGCCCTCCCTCCTCACCCCCAGCATGTCCATCTGAAAAGGATATGAACTGTAGGCCATGGGTCTCCAGCTCAGGAGAGATCACTTTTTGTGGCCCTCGATCCTTGTGATCAGGGAAATATATGATGGCAGAATCTTTGGTTGGGGCAGAGGGGAAAGGGGGAAGGGGAGGCTGTAGAAGAAATCTATTGCCCATTGAATACAAATCCAGCAAAGGAACCCAATTTGGAATTTTTAATCTTAAACTGAGTACCACAGATCAAGCCCTGGGAAAATGGCATGAAAGATGTCCTTATTTGGGAGGAGGGAGGACGTGTGCCATGTTGAGGGGAGAAACAGATTCAGGGACTCATCCTGGCACCAAAGGCACTCGTGGTGTTCTTAATAGCCTCTAAAGTTGGTACCCTGGGCCGTGTCTTAGCCATAGGATCCATAGGTTGAGAGCTGGGAGGGACTTCAGACCATCCTGTCCAACCCTCTCATGTTGCTGATGAGGAAACTGAGATTTAGGCAGGTGACTTCTCAAGTCCTGACTCAAATGAGAGAGGCAGGATTTGAACCCAGTTCCTCTGACTCCAGTGTGGCTCTTCTCACACAAATACAACTACTATTCATTGTCTTTCATTCTCTCTCTCTCTCTCTCTCTCTCTCTCTCTCTCTCTCCTCCCTGTTTCTCTCTCCTCCTCCTTCCCTCTCTCTTTTTCTCTCTGTCTCTTTCTTTTTCTTTCTCTGTCTCTTTTTTTCTGTCTGTCTCACTCACATACACACACACACACATACACACACATACTCCCTTCTTTCATTATATTGGCCTTTATCAATCAATTTAAGTCTATAAATAAATATATAAATAAAATACCCCATAGGGAGAGGAGGAGAGGGGCGTGTGTGTGTGTGTGTGTGTGTGTGTGTGTGTAAATAAGCAAACACGAGTTGTCTGCTGGTGTGTGCTGAACCCTGCTTCCTCCCTCTTCTTCTGTGTTTTTCCCGCCTCTCTCCCTCTCTGCCTTTCTCCCTTTGTCCCTCTTTCTTTCTTCATCTCTCCTTCCATCTCCTCCTGTCTCTCTCTCACCACCAGGCCTTGGAACTCCAGCAGGAAACCTGGTTTGTCTTGAAGCAGTGAGAAGGCAGTGGCAGGAAGGTTTTCACATTGTGCTGTTATTACACTGTTTGGCAAAATAAAGCCTCGAGTGTTTCTGCCTCCCACCCAGGTGTTCAATGGCTAGGAAACTGAAGACCTGCCCTGCAGTGTGTGAGGCTGCCCAGGCAGCTGGCCTGCTCCCAACAGACTCTGCCTGGTGGAAAGGAGTTTGACAAGCACTCCAACTGACAGCATTCTCCGGACCCAGAATGCTCCCCAGCCTCTGCCCCCCGTTGCTGCCTTCTCAGAAAACTGTGTTGGAGCTCAAATGACGACTGGGAGATGGACATACACTTGCTGGCCTTTGCCAGGAGTCGTATTCTGAAACCTTGTGGGCCATTTTGAATCCGCACAGATGGAGCTTTGTCCAACTTCTCCGGCCTGGGAGTGGCTGGGAAGGAGGGGGTTGGTCTTGTCTTTCAGCTCGGTCTAGATTCTGCCACCTGTGAGGAGTCCTATGCTGGCTCTGCGTGGGCCCTCTGGGGTGGACGGTGGCAGGTGGTCAGATATAGGCCCCTACCTCTAAAGGGAACCACCTGGGGCCTAGCAGGAGTTGGGGGGCTGGTGGACAAGAGTGTCCTCTGAGCCCTACACCAATCAAGAAGCTATTTTCACTCAGCAGTCCTGGATATTTCCACCCCCAGTCTGGTAGGTTTCTGTCCTGGTGAATCTCTTTGCCTCCATTACTTGAGGGTGCTGTGTGTGTGTGTGTGTGTGTGTGTGTGTGTGTGTGTGTGTGTGTGTAGACTTCAAGTTCTCCTCCACCTCCTGGGTTGGCTTGAGGCCTCTGGCACTCCCTTCAGAAGTCCCGGTCACATTGCTTCTTGAGGAAGAAGAAGCTAGGCTTCGGAGGTGGCCCCAGCAACATGGGCACTTGGTTTTTGTGGGTGATTTTAGCCTGAAAGGAAAGAGAGGAAGTGAATGAATAGCTCATATACACGAGTCCTACGGGAACAAATGGCTGGGGAGGGTAGGGGGAGGAGAGACAGACAGACAGACAGACAAACAGAGACAGGGAGACAGAGAGAGAGAGAGAGAGAGAGAGAGAGAGAGAGAGAGAGAGAGAGAGAGAGAGAGAGAGAGAGAACAAGGGGCTGGAAGGGGCCACTTAGCTCATGCCCAACAGAGACACAGTGTGATATAGTAGATAAAGGGCTAGGTATGGAATCAGGAAGGCCTGGGTTCAAATCTTGCCTCAAACCCATCTGTGATTGTGGGTCAGTCACTTGATCGCTCTGGGCCCCAGTTTCTTAGGATCCTTAGGACCTTAGGGTCAGCTGGATAGGACCTTAGAGGTCACTGAGTTCTATCCTTTCATTTTACAGGTGAGGAAACTGAGGCCAGAAAAGGAAATGACCTACTTTGGGTCACCTAGGGAGTAAGTGGCAGAGTCAGGATTCAAATTCATGTCCTGCAGCTCCCAAGTTCAGCACTTTTTCCTCATCTGTTTAACAGGGAGGGGGGTAGGGTTTGGACTGGCTGATTGTTATGGTTTCTTCTAGCTCGGAATCTGTGATCTATGGTTCTTCATTTTACAAAGGAGGAAACTGAGTCTTGCAGGGGGAAATAAATTGCCCAAGGTCACACATTAAGATGGAGGAGCCAGAATTTGAACCCAGGCCTGTCTGACACCAGAATGCTCTTCTCTTCTTTTCCTGTTGTACCATGCACCATGCTGTCTGAGGGCTCCCTTCCAGAACGACAGCTGCCCTTGACCAGCTTCAGAACAGGCGACTTGGCTCTGGGCAGGACAGATTTGGCAGTGCTGGTGGTGATGGGCAGAGATGCCCAGAGAGGCAGGAGCTTCCCATGCATGGAGATCTGTCTGCACCTGTCTCGTGTCCTTGCTATTCATAGCCTCAGAGATAGTCGGAGTTGGGAGGGACCTTTGGGACAACCAGATCAAACCCACCCACTTCACAGATGGGCAAGCTTGGCCAAGGTCACACAACTAGCAAGTGGAAACGCAAGGATGAGAACCCAGGACATATGGTCAGGTCCATATGTTTTCTGTGATATCACCAGGCCCCTGATAAATGAGCTTGGTTGGGCAGAAGTTTGAAGGATGTACCAGGTGTCTCAAGATCAGGTGGGAGCCTCAGTTTCACCTTGGCTTAGAGTGATATGGGACCAAAGCCCCTCCGACCATGGGATCCCAGAACCAACCCCCTCATTGTGAAGAAACTGAGGCCTCAGGGATTGCAGTGACTTGCCCAAGGTCTCACATAAGACCAGAGAATCTAGGACAGGGAGGGACCCCAACCCATCCTTATGGGGTGACGAATGACGAATGACGAAACTGAGGCTGAGGAGAGTGATGTCCCTTGTCTGAAGGGACATACATAATAAGCGACAAGGATTTGAACCCGTGCTTTCTTACTCCAGACCCAGGGCTCTCCTCATTGCCTGCTCAAATTCAGGGTAAATTAAGTCAATTAAGGATGAAGGGGTAAACTGGCTGTCCTGGGGTGGGAGTAGAGGGAATCTTCTGGAGGGGGTGGGTTTTTAGATAGGTTTTGGAGGAAGGAAAAGCAAATAACTGGCACAAAAAGGAAAAGCTTCCAGCTAGAATGGGGCAGAGTCCTGGAGACAGGAATGAACAATGTCAATGTTGAGGCCAGGATGAGGGAGCTGAGCGGGGTGACAGAGGGCTTGGGAGGCCAGGGAGAAGAGTATGGGTTAGGAGCTCCGATGGGCACAGCGGACAAGAACAATTCCAGAGGACTCATGACAAAATGCCCCGACGAATTCAGAGTACAGACTGAGGATACACACTCACACATACATATGTATACCTACACACATACACAAATACACGTGTACACACATCTGTACATATACACACATGCTTGTACATATATGTGTGTGCGCATGTCTATGTGTGTATATACACATACATATATATGTGCATTAGTAGTGTCTGATTCTTTGTGACCCCATGGACTTGTCTGTGGGGCTTTCTTGGCAAAGATACTGGAGTGATTTGTCATTTCCTTCTCCCATTTTACAGAGGAAGAACTGAAGCAAATAGGGTCGCACAGCTAGTAAGAGTCTGAGGCTGGATTTGAACTCAGATCTTCCAGACTCCGGGCCAGTGCTCTATCCACTGGACCACCTGGCTGCCCCGTGTGTATGTATGTGTATGTGTGTGTATTCACATATATACACACATACATGTAGACACATCAAATATATTCAATTCGCGTGGGAATTGGTTTTGCTTGGCTATGTGTATTTATAACAGGCTGTGTTTTTCTTGCTTTCTCAATGGCTAGGAGAGGGGGAGGCGGGAAGGAGAAAATGCAGAATTTAAAATAAAATTTAATTTAAAACAAAAAGAAAGTAAAACAAAATAGTTCATGTGAAAAGAAACCCAAGATGGTGACAGTTTCACTATACTCCCTCGCTCCCCACTCCTCTCACCCTGGTCAGATCACACCTGGAATATATTCTTTCCATTCTGGCCAGTAGGTTGAGGTGTTGGGGAGCTGGTGTCCATGCGGAAGAGCACAATTTGAATGGCCAAGGGACAGGAGACGGTGCCACATCAGTACTGATCTAGGGAATGAGGAATGGCTGGTCTGCAGAACAGAAAGCTTGGGAAGGACACGGTCTTCAAGGTTTTGAAGCACTGTTCCATGGAAGAGGGATTCCATGGGTTCTACATGGCCCCAGGAGGTAAAATCCCTTTAGGATTCATTTGGTCCTCCACTGGGGGTAGGTCATGAAAGGGCATACTGACTCTTAGCAAATGGTAGACTCTTAATAACTATTTATAGGCTGATGAAATCATTGATTGGCTGAAAGAATAAAAACTTGGAGAAACCCGGGTGTGAAGATTTCTCTCTCTCCTGTATGGAGCACACTGATTCCATGTAGATTCAGATGACAAATTAGGACTAGCTGGCTGAGATTAGAGGGAGGCAGTTTTTCACTCAGTCTGGAAACTTGCCTGTCTAGAATGCCCCAGAAAAGTTCCCTGTTGTGTGTGGGGCTGTACTGTGGGACCTCTGAGGTTTCTTTATTTGATCATTTTATTTTAAGCCTGTCCTGCTAATCTTGCTATGTCCTACTGTAAGCTTGTTTTCTTCTCAGTAAGCCTGTGGTCATTGGAGGCCGGGAGGATAGCTCCTCTGGCCAGCGTCAAAGACGGACTGCACTCACCGTGCAGGGTGCCTGCAGCCAGGGCTCCCCATCCACTTGCATAGGCAACATCTTGGTTGTCCTGGAACCCAGAATAACAGCAACAATAAAAGAGAAGAACAGTGAGTTTTTGTAGTAGGGGTAGTAATGAGGTTAGGTGTGCTTGACTTGTGTATCTAGAGACAGTAGGGCCATTCACAGGAGCTGGGGCAGTTGTCAGGGTAAGACAGGGCAGAGAGCTCAGGATATGGAAACAAGGCACTTGGGTTCAAATTCCCCTGTGTGGTCTTGGATACATTATCTGACTGCCCTGAGCCTCAGTTTCCCACTCTGTAAATTGAGGGGGTTTGCCTTTGATCTGGGATTCTGTGGTAGTATCACTCAGCATCCCTAAGCTTCAGTTGCCCCATCTGTGGAAGGATATGATTGGTCTAGATGGCTTACAGCTCTTGACCTGTGATTCTCTGAGTCTATGGCAGTCTCCAAAGGCCAACTGGAGGAAGTAGGGTGCTCTTCATGAGGGCACTTTCAAGGAGCTTACCTTGAAGGGGGTGGGATGGGGAATGGGTTTTTGGTTCACCCCAGGATTCTTGCCAAGTACTACAGCTCCTTCAGTTATGCAAGGTGAGGGGGCCTCAGTTCTATGATGAGTGATAGGTTAGATCATGGCAGTGAGGTAATATCTCTGGTCTGTATAAAACATATGTTGGCTCTGATTCTGCCTGATTCTGCCTGTTCTTATATTTGTTAATTCAGGAGCTTCCTGAATGCCTTCCTAGTTCCAGGAAAGGATGCTATATCAAGAATAATGGTGTTCAATATGAGGTCCAGTGCCCCCAAGGAGTCCCTGAGACCCTTTTAGGGGTCCTTGAGTTCAAAACTATTTTTGCACAATATTAAGATTTTACATTTCTACAATGGTAAATATCAATGGCTACAATCCACATAAAGAAAAACTCTTTGGGAGGGGTTCTCAATAATGTTTTAGATTGTAAAATGGTCCTGAGGCCCCCAAATTTGAGAACTGCCGCTTTAGAAAGCAAAGACTGGATCTGGAGAAAAGAGGGCCATCTGGGAGTAGACTGAGATTACTAGAAGAATAAAGGAAGAATTGGGATGCCAGTATAGAGTCAAAGCCTTCTCCTGGACATGAGTTTACAGAAGAAAGAGTAGGGGAGCTTTTTTAAGTCCCATAATCAGTGGCATGTGGCAGCCCTAGGGACTTGCCCTTGGTGAGTTTGAGATAGACAAACAGAGACAGAAAGACAGAGGCAGAATCAGAGACTGAGAAGGAAAGGAAGAGAGAGAGAGAGAGAGAGAGAGAGAGAGAGAGAGAGAGAGAGAGAGAGAGAGAGAGAGAGAGATGAGAGATAGAGAAAAAGGGAGATATGTACATGGAGAGGGGGAAGGAACAGAGGAAGGCAGGGAGGGAGGGAAGGAGAGGGAGAGAGAGAGAGGGAGTGAGGGAGAGAGAGACACAGAGAGAGAGACAGACAGAGACAGAGAGACACAGAGACAGAGAGAGAGACAGAGAGAGGAGAGAGAGAGAGAGAGAGAGGGAGAGTCAGTCAGTCAGTCATTTTTGGAGGTCTAGGTATGATGCCAGCAGGAATTAATAGTGGCTAGTCGTAGAGCTATTTCCCCCCTCCTCCCCACCCCGGTTTCCTTCTTTCTTTTCCTTGTTTTTCACTTATTCTTCAAACATTTATTGAACAATTTCTAACACAATGCCTGCCCTCATGGAGCTTACAGTGTTTTCTTTATTGCTATTAACTAGAATAGATGGAAACAATACCCTCTTCTCCTCCACCCTCCCAAGATTTCTCTGTGGTAATTAGCAAGTCTTTTGTAGGAGGTGAAACCCCCAGAGTCTACTGAGCAATGGGGCCAAATACCTGATGGTAACAGAGGTGCACTGAGCCAGCCTCTTCCCAGCATTCTTCAGTCCAGTGTAGATTTGCCCCATCTCCATGGCTCCCTCCAGTCCCACCACTTCTAGAAGATGATCACTGAAGTCTATGGAACACAGAAGCGTCAAAACATCAATTCAAAATTCAGTTAAACGACAACTACGAGCCAGGCAACATCCTAGGCACTGGAGAAACAAAGTCCAGAGCACAATTGCTCCTGCCTTTAAAGAGCTTACATTCTATTGGTTCATTCGACAAGCATATCAAGCACCCATGGGACCAGGCACCATGGCAGGTACTGGAGAGAGAAAGATGGAAACAAAACTGTCCTGCCCTTAAGGAGCTTACGTTCTACTTAGAGAAAAAAAAAAGCAGTTGAGTAAATACGAATATACGACATAAACACAAAATAACTCATTTGGGAGGGGTAGAGTGGAGAGTGCTTACAATCAGGAAGTTGGAGAAAGGCCTTATTTAGGAGACATTTGAACAGAGATTTGAATGGAGCTAGGAATTCAAACAAATGGAGAGGAGGAGACAGTGGCCTAGGAAATGGGTGAAGGCATAGGGAGTTGGAATGTCAATTTCAAAGTACAACAGATATAGACCATGGCCAGTTGGAATGGAAGACTGGCTATCGCAAAGGATCTTGTCCCAGGATTGACAACCAGAGTCCAACAGCCTCTTTGTTTCTCCAGCAGAAATTTTCTCTTGTTCTTTCATATTTTTAGCTTTTAACTAAACACATTATTCATCAATTAATCAGGTACCTACTATGTGCTAGAGATGTATTCAGAAAAGTCAATATATAAAAGCTTCTTTGTGGGGGAGGGCACTAGCAACTGGGCAGTCCATTAGACTGTAAACTCCTTGAGGGCAGGGACCATCTCATTTTGTCTTTGAATCTGTAGTACCAAGCATGTAGTTTTTGTTGTTGCTTTGTTGTTTCAGAAGTGTCCATCTTTCCGTGGCCCCATTTGGGGTTTTCTTGGAAGAGATACTGAAGTTTCCTTCTCCAACTCATTTTACAGATGAGGAAACTGAAGCAAACAAGGTTAAGTGACTTGCCCAGGGTCACACAGCTAGTAAGTTTCTGAGGCCAGATTGGAACTCAGGAAGATGAGTCTTCCTGACTCCAGGTCCAACACTCAATCCACTGTGTGCCACCTAGCACACAGTAGGCACTTAATAATAAATGCCTGTGGATTGATTGATTGATCAGAAAAGCCCTTGTGTTGTGTAGTAGCAGCACCTGAGATGTATCACCAAGAGCACCCTGGGAAAAAGAGAAACAGAAAAGAGACTGATGGCCCATTTCCTCCCTTTCTGTCTTCAGAGCAGGATCAGTGAATTCCTGTTGTTGGCAAGCAACCTTCACATATGCATCTGGAAGCCCCCCTTCTCTTCAGACTTCCTGGGGGGTTTGCAACATGCTAGAATGTTTTCCTTGTGAGGGTGTCATTGGAGTTGAAGGTTGGTGTCAGGCAGAGAGATAGAACCTTACAACCTGACTCCTTCTGGAACTCTGAGCTCAAAGCAAGACATCAGGAAAATTCCTTAAAAGTTTCTTTAGGTGCATGCTGTATACAGTGACCCATCCCCCTCCCCAGTGACTGACAGGGGAGTCAGAGAGGCCTTCCTGGAGGAGGAAGCATTTGAATTATATTTTAAAGGATAGGTAGGAATTCAATAGAAGACAAAGAGGGAGGACTTTCAGGGAACAGGGTAAAGAAAGGTAGCCCAGGGAGTATTTGGGGCATGCTGTCCATTACTGTTATACACTTACATATGCCTCAGGAAGTAGTACTAATGAGAATGGGTCTATAGGGGCTATCCCCCAGGCAGGGTGTTCCAGAGGTCATAACCAGACAAAGAAGCATAAGACAAAAGAGCCTTCCTGTAGGTGGTCCAGCTCCCTCAGCATTGACCCCAGTGCTCAACCCCGATCCTGCCTGCATCCAGCTCAGGGAGACCCCATGTTGGTGAGAAGGTGTAGTGCTGAGGCCAGCTTCCGTTCTAATGTAGATTTATCAGAACCACAGTAGTTAGTGGCTATGGAGGAAGGGGAAGTGAGTTAGGGTTTGGTTAGCCTGTTAATACTTGTGTTTGCCCTTCTTTTACTCATTAAAAACCAACCAAACAGTACTTCCTCCAACATTAAGAGTTCTTAATAAAGACAGTTAAACTTAATGAAGATAGTTAAAAAAAATTATTATGCTGACCACAGACATATCAGTGTTGGCCCAATCTACTGATTGACCAATTCATGTTTGATAGGCGTTTTTGGGTGACGAATTTAGCTGGTTTTTCCATTCCTTTGATTTGCCTTTTCTTTCCCTTCCAGTTTTTCTCTTCCCTCCCCTCTTACACCCCCCACCTGCGGTGGCTTGTGAAACTCCCATCATTATAAGAAATCATGAAAGGAGAAAAGCTTGTTTGGTAGAAAGCCTTTGGCTCTCTGAAGGAATTCTGAGCCAGTGAACAATGAATGTCTGAACCTCCAGTAATTTAATTAGTTCCCCTTTGAACAAAGCTGAACAAAGAGATTTGAATCAGCATTTGGAGGAATTTCCTGAGACATTCAGGGACTACCTGAATATTCAAGGACACATGGAAGAGAGAGAAGGAAGAAGGCAGGAGAGGGGAGGAGGGAGAGGGAGAGGAAAGGAGAGGACAGCAGAGGGTTAGGGGAAAGAGGGAGGAGAAGGAAGAAGATAGGAGAGAACAAGGGAGATGAGAGGTAGGGAGAGAAGAGGGCAGAGGGGGAGGGAAGGAGGAGGAGAAGAGAGAGGAGAGGTCAAGGAAGAGAGGCAGAGAATTCAAGTCAACAGGCATTTAGTGAGTGGATGTGCCCGGCACCGTGCGAAGGGCTAAGGACACAAAGAAAGACAAAAACAGTCCCTGCCCTCAAGTGATTTACAATCGAAGGTGGGCAGGAGGATTAGAGCAGGAGAAAATTTGCAAGCAACTACTGGATAATTGAAAATAGTCTCAGAGGCACTAAGGGGTTTGGGGAAAGGCCTCTTACAGAAAGTAGGCTTTTTAAGTGAGACTTGAAGGAAGCCAAAGAAGCCAGGAGGCAGAGATGAGGAGGGAGTGAATTCCAGGCACTGGGATGCGCAGAGTGCACAGGAGCATCTAGAGGACAGTTACTGGAAGGTGGCGTGCATTCAGGGAGTGAGGTGTAAGAAGATGGGAAAGATGGGAAGGGGCAGGCTATGGGCGGCTCCGAAAGCCAAACAGACGATTTTACATTAGATCCTGGTGGTGATCGGGGCCACTGGAGTTTACTGAATAGGAGAGTGACATAGCCACACCTGCACTTTAGGAAGATCACTTCCATAGCGAGTGGGGGTGGACTGGAGCAGGGGAGCCTTGAGGCCATTCCAATGGACCAGGTGTGAGGTGATGAGGTGAGGCTGAGAGCAGTGTCAGGAAAGAAGGGGAATATGACAGCTATCACAAAAATCAAATCCACAGGACATGGCAGCAGGCTGGCTATGGGGGAAGGTGGTGCGACAGCCAGGAAATGATGAGGACACCCAGATTGTGAACCTGGGTGATTGGAAGGATAGCGGGGCTAACACTGACTATGACAGGGACATCAGGAAGAAGGGAGGGTCCGGGGTGTGTGTGTGAAGATAATGAGAGTAATTTGGGACATCTTCTGTTTAAGATCTCTATGGGACATCCGGTTTGAGACGTATGAGAGGCATTAGGAGCTGTGAGACTGGAGTCAAGAGAGATTAGGGCTGGATAAGTAGATCTGACAATTCTCTGTCTGGAGGTGATGATTGCATCCATGGGAGCTAACGAGGTCACCCAGCGAGCATAGAGGAAGAAGAGCACCCAGGACAGAGCCTTGGGTGGGGGAGGGGGAGGAGAACACCCGCAGCGAACAGGTGGAAATAGTCAAGGAGAAATGACCCCATCTCTTATTGGGGACTGTTTTTCTGGGTCTTTTTCCCTAGGGCTTCCAGCAAGGAGGGAGAAGATTCATTTCTCCTGACCTGACTCGTTTAAGAAGTACATGGCAATGAAGACCTGTCTGCTTGTCTGGGCTAGTCTAAGGTGGGACCTCAGGGCCCTGACTGCCCTCTTCTGCCTTGGTATGTGACCAGTAATCCTGAGAAACGGGTGTTTGCATATTTAGCGGTAACCCTGTAGGTCAAGAGTTCCAGATATCCGGAGTCAGGTATTTGCTGACCAGAGTTGGGAAGGTTCTTGGAGATGACTCCTACCATTGCCAGGGAAGATCCTACTGCTGAAAGAAAAAAGAAAAGGAGGCCCAAATGGGAAGGAGAAATGGCCATGATGGGTTGTTGGACAGAGCAGGGCTGAGTTATGTATAGATAGAAAACATCTGTTCCACTTGTCCACGAAGATGTCTTTGCCTTCCTTGGGCATAGAATGAGTTTCATAAGCTAAGGAGATGTCTTGTGTCTCTCTTTCTGTCTGTGTGTGCCTCTGAGATGTTCTTAGAAGTTTATGTGGTAGAGGGAATAAATACTCGTTCAGTACTTTTTCTAGAAGGGATTTGATTACCCACATTTTTGGGGAAAGGAGAAAGAGTGCCTGGCCACTTTCTTTGGGGTCAGACTCCCTTACCCCTTCCTGTGTCAATATAAATCTGGGGTACATTTAGAGACCAGAATGGAGCTCCTTCGGAGAGGAAGCTTCCTGGGCTGTGCGGTATACCAGAATCCCCTTTGCACCATACCCTCCAATGGTCATCTAGCCGCTCCTTGAAGACAATCACCTTCAGCGAGGGGAAGCCCACACCTTCTTGAGGATATTCATTCCACTTTTGGATCACTCCAATGGTTAGGAAGATTTTCCATACATCAACCCTAAACCTTCCTCTCTCCACGTGCTACACATTGCTTGGGTGGAAGCCTAGAGGTTACAATCTCTCATAGAAAGATAGACTTTGAGCTGGAAAACATCCTAGAAGTCATCTGGCCTGACTGCCTTCTTCTACTGATGAGGAAGCTGAGGTGCAGTAACTTGCCCAAGGTGGCATGGGTAGTGAGTGGCAAAGAGGGATCTGAATCTAGTTCTCTCGTCTCTCCTCCCAGGGTCATTCCCACAGTGCCCTGCTGCCCC